ATACCTTAATATTTGAAATAACTCAAAGAGATGGTCAAAATTATAATTCATCTCATCAATTAGACTTCCCTTTTCAGCTTTGTTATGAAGAAAATAACATCCCTATAGAATATATATTGACAGCACGTGTATATAGCACATCATCAAGTGGACAGCATTTCTACAGTAAAGTAATTCGAAGCTTTAATGATCAGTGGTGTTTATAAATATGATGACTTAAATGAAGGAGGAATGGCAGTATTAGAATCAAAAGATTTGACTTCTTTATCAGGAAATAAACCACAAACTGTATTGGTTGCTTATAGATTAAAGGATTCTAATATTCACTCTATTTATTCTAATAACAAAACAAGTTAGTATTAGTATGATTAATTAATTAATAAATTAATCAATAAAATTATTAATAAATAAATAAACAATAACATCTATTTGCAGAAACTTTCCTGGAAAAATTAAACAGATATAATATAAAAATTCCAAATGAAGAAACCCTTTCAGGAATAGACTGTGGGTAAAATTTCAATAAAAAATACATGATTTTCCTGTCACTTATCAAATGATTTTAATATATTATGCATTTTTTCTAGTAATTGAATACTTTTGGGATAAAGTTCATCAATATTACAATACTAACAATGAAGGTGAAGATGATGAAATAATTCAAAAGGAGTCTGAACCTGATTCATCTAATAAAAAATATAAAAGGTAATTAATTCATTGCAACTTGCAACTATTTTATTACATGAAAATATTAATATTAACAATATTATATTTCACTTTAGACCTAAAATTGACACCTCTATAGTTCGTCGTAGTAGTAGAATTAGAAAAAATATAAAAAAATAAATTATTGTGTATAAATTATTATCATCTTTATTTTTTATTTTATTTATTTCATTTATTTTATTTATTTCATTTCATTTATTTTATGTATATTAATATATCAAAAAAATAAAAATGCCATCAAAAATTTTTTTTTGCAGATCCCTGTCCCCTGTCCTTTTCCAGATTTGATAGGTGAATATTGAAAAGCACAGGTACATGTCACCTGTTCCTTGTTTGCGCCACGCCTGTCCCCTGTGCTTTTCAAGACTTTTCGCATATCGCCTGTGCCACTCGCCTGTCCTTTTCTAGATTTGATGGTGAAATCTTGAAAAGCACAGGGGACAGGCGAATTTTGCAGATCCCTGTACCCTGTGCTTTTCTAGTATCCCGTATGGAACCAATACGGAAATTTACTAATTGAAATTCATTAAAAAATCTATTTATAACTGTACTTTAGTTACTGAATCCAGACTGAAATTACGTATTCAAAACATATTTTAATTACTGAAAAGGTGCTGAATACATACTGAATTTACATATTCAAAACATATTTTAATTACTGAAAAGGTGCTGAATCCATACTGAATTTACATATTCAAAACATATTTTAATTACTGGAAAGGTGCTGAATCCATACTGAATTTACATATTCAAAACGTATTTTAATTATTGAAAAGGTGCTGAATCCATACTGAATTTACATATTCAAAACATATTTTAATTACTGAAAAGGTG